ACAGTTCAGAGTAGCATTAGATCCACAGGAACAAACTTTTGAAGTGATCTTGTCCCTATTTGCTCGGTGCCTGATGAATGGGGGGGGGAGGAAGAACTGGAACAATGACACTTCATCTGTTTTTCCTTGGGAAGTGCTATTGTAACCCCACCATGTTTATAGTGATTTTCCAACACTATTTCTAGATGTGACACAAAGCAGGCAAACAATCAATTTGGGCATGCTTAACTCCACCTGAACTTAGGAATAAACAGGGAAAAATAAAAAACGGCATCTGACATAAAATATGGCTTAGAATTCACTAACAAAATTCATTAGCAAAAGGGAATAATTCAGAATGCATACATTTCCCCATAGTACCATGAAATTTCAGTTGTTACGCATAGATGTGATGTTTGTGATAAAAACAAGAAAATAGGTTTTTCAATGCTTTTCTGAAAAAACACGCAATTGCTTTGATACTTTCCTCATTTAAGCTATTGTCATTCACTGCTCTCACTTGTCTTGAGAAAGCTGTGCTCAAACACCTTCAATCTCTTAGCAAGGTTAATAATCTAATATTGTTGTGTTCCAAACAAAGCTCATATGAGGAAGACAACTGCATGAAGACACTGAGTCTTTTTTTTTTGAGTTATTCAAAGAGCTGCTTGTCTCGATGGCCCATATATGATAGGGAAGCTGCTATTAAAATCTGACCCATTATCTCAGAAAACCTTCCCTTCAGTGGCAGTCTTAAGTAATTTTAAGCAGCAGAAATGAAAAAAATGCAGAGAGGTGAATCAGATGTAGCCAGCCCAGAAGTATATAGATAGCTTTTGCCTTGGGCTTTCCTTTATGGGTTCTTCCAAATACTCCCTCAAAGCAAAATTTGGACAAGATGGATAAAGTGAATCTGAAACATAATTCATGAAAATCCTATTAATTTTACCACGTCTAATTAGTTTGGAAAGGTTGGGCTCACAGCTATTACAATGGAGAACCTGAAAATGTTTTCAAGTGTGGTAATCAATGCTTCCTTCACATGTAACAGGATTTAGAGAACTTTGTGTGTTTGGTGTTTGCTTATTTTCAGATTTTTTTTTCTATTCTAAAATAGCTTTAACCTATCTTGCCATGGAAAGTCAGCAAGGCTGAGAAGAACTTTTCACAAATCTTTACAGTGCTCCCTCTTCTCTGAATCATGACAGTCAAAAGGAAGGATTTGGCATTGCAAATTCATTAATTTGAAACTTACTGCTCACAGGAAGAGTTGAAATAATGACTATTTAAGGCTATCCTTGCATGGGATACATAAGCACTCTGCTGACATACAGTAAATTCAAATTAGAGCATGAAATGCTGTGGAGGAACTATAGAATGCTTCTTGCAAGTCTGAGACAGAACAAGGCTATGCAGAATGGATTACAGCTGGAAATACACAGGAGCTCATCCAAATTAGAGGATGGTGTCAGAATCACAGCTGTAAGCTTTTAATTTTAATGCTCATTTACCAGGTGTGGCTGTTAGTGGAAGAAGGTAGCAGTGCTACCCTTCAAGGTGGTCAGTCTGCTGTGCTTCAAGAAAATGAGATGTGAAATTTATATCACTGATGTTTCCTTTCTTAGCAGTAACAAAAAGCAGACTGTTGAGGACAACTTATTCTGTAATTCCTCTGCATGCAGCATGTTATACCAGAGCAACTAAGCATCTTAATGATAACTAAAAAAAAAAAAAAAAGTAAGTTATACTATATTTTCTATGAACAGTAATGATAAAAGCTGCCACAACAGCAAGCAGTGTGAACACTGCTCAGGCTCAGTGCTGCAAATGCTGTCCCACACAGCTTCTGAGGGTTGGTTGGAAGCAAAAGAGCCATTCAGGCTTTCAGTGATATCACATCTGCTGGCCATTACGTGAATGGATGCTGTACAGTTTGCACAGTGTTTGTCAGTAATGCAAGTGAGTCATTTCATAATATTTCTAAGAGCAGAAGTTATCAGAATAAAGGCTTTTGAGATAACCCACAACACTCAAAAGCATCCTTGATGTAAATTCATGGATAAACACCAGGATTCAATTTGGCTTTAAAATAAAATTTTTTATAAAAAAAAAAAAGAGAACCATTTCCTTTTGAAAGGGTCACTTGTAAATCAGTTGCCAGACTGCTCAGTTCCACCTGTGAGCCAGCTCTCATGCATACTTAGCTGCGTGCTTAACATCCTTAACTGCACCTGTAGCTTCAGGCACATGAGTGTTCAACTGGATGTAGTGGGAATGAGAACCTTCTAATGCTTAGAGAGTTGCTTGCTGAATAAAAGCTTTCATGTCCCATGCAGAAAATGAGCTTCCTTCTACACTGGTGCCTTGGTATCTGCGTGCATGCAGATGTAAGAGCTTTGTCCTTCAGAGGAGCTCTGCATACTCTGATCTTGCTCTCACATCCTGTTTACTTACTGACTGCAGCTAAGGGCACAGCTAAATAAACTGTTCAGCTCCTGAACCAGCTAACCAGCATTCAGGTTTTCACATCAAATCCTGCATGGGCCAGTTACCACCTATCTCCACCTTCAGCTTTCAGAGGTTTAGATGCCACAGCTTTGTGTTCAGGGAAAGTTCAGCTTTTTTCAGGTACAAACTAGCATACGTGTGAATATTTCTCCAAACAGTTTAGAAAGCCCAGCTCCTTTATCCACTTCTCAGACTGGGACCACTTTTCTCCTAACAAATTGCTACCCAAGCAAGCTGAGTGTTAATCAGTGCTTAAAATCTGTGTCAATCTGTGTGGGTGCCTGGTTCCTGTGCATTCCCCACTAGAAGGTTCCTGAAGGCTCACATCAACTGCACCTTATAAAGAAGTGGTTTAGCACTTGATTCAATTATAGATGTGTAAGTTTCTGACCTGTACATATCCAATCAAAATAGAGAATTGTGTTTTGTTAGAATTTTTTAAGCTGTCAAAAAAATACATCTACACAAATCATTACATTAGCATAGAAAAAGCATGCATCCCTACAATAAATTATAAAAAGGCAACCAAGCAATGAGATGGAATAAGTCTCACCAGTGCTTACAGGCTTTGCAGACTCCATCTCTGTTTATAATTTTTGCTTTGCCATAGATCTTGCCTCTGCTTTGTGCAACATTTATTCCCATAGAAAGCCTGCCTACTGCACCTTCCTCAGTCTCTTTAACGTGTCACGTGCTGGGCTCTGCTTTTGTTCACTTCTCACCCTCACTGCTGCCTCTGAAAGTTCTGAGAATTTAAACTGTACAGCTCCTGCAGCTCTGTAAGTATTTTGCCTACCATGTACTGGGAACATACTGCAGAACAGAGCTGCACCATGCGGCACAGTGTTACAAGCAGGCTACAACAACTTTCCCTTCCAGCACATTAATGAATTTCACGTTCCAAGAAATTGTGAAGACAGTGCACTAGTAACAAGCCATGAGCAACCCAACTGTACATTGACAATTAATAAAATATGCTAAGTGTCAATTCTTTTCACAGTATCGTTCCATTTTACTTAGCCCCAGTCTGCAGTTCAAAAGTTTTTGGCAGCAAGCAGCACCATAAATCATAACTCTTGTGGCATCTGTTCCTCCCTAGAACTGGAGGTGGAGGTTAGGAACTGGGGCAAGTCAACAGCACAGCTGGATGTTTTACTGGACCACCATAACAGTTTTCAAGTCTAGTTACTGTTCTGAAATCAGATAATGGTGTGTATATACATTTATGGACATACAAGTTACAGCTTCCTGGTTAGAAGACCAGTATGGCCATGAACTGTTGGAGAAAGAGTTTTTTGACAATTTTGATCACATTCAGGAGAGTAATAACTTTGAACAAAGAATTACCAAAGTCACCAGTGCCCTTCACTGCCTACAGTTCCACGTCAAACATGCATTTTTTTTTTATTTACATCATTGCTCTCTGGATCCCAACCCTCAATCAGTTTGACTTGACTCCTTAAAGGGAAGGCAATGCAGTTATGTGAACTGCATGTGCTGTAATAAAACAAAAGCATCTAATTTTCTTTTCCAGAGTTAAGTTTTGAAGAGAGAAAATATTCACCTTTTAAAAGCAATCCCATTTGCTAAACTCATGTAGGGCAAGTCATGCGAAATATATGCTGATAGTGCAATATAATCACTTCCACAATCAGTGTGCAAAACTTTACTGCTCCTGCTCACTGCATTTCAAGCTTCAAGCCTAGAACACTGCCTGTTGCTATCCTGACAGCCAGTCTCATTGCACAAAATGTGCTGCATACAGCAGAAAGATGGCAAAGGAGCACTAAAAAAACTTTGAATGCCAGCAAATTCAAAATAGTAGCTTTTCTTGATGTTATCACCCCTCTACTTTCCTCTCTCTCCGACACCATTTTCCCTAGAGGTGCTATTCTAAACACAGTGTACAGTGGGCAAAATGGAACCAATAGGGAGAAAAGCAGCTCTAGGACCATGGCAGACTGCAAGCAGAATTCAAACTAGGAAAGCTATGCTCAGAGCTTGATACAGAGCAGATGTGCTTTTCTTCATGGAATGCACCAAATGTATCTCTTAGTTAACTGTGACACCTACATCAGGAAGAGCTGCACCTCTCTCACTTCCACTCTCATCCAAGATAGAGCAATAGATACACAGTGCTAGTCAACCTCTCACCATCCTGTCACTGTTTTACTGTAGAACAGAGAATTACCTAAAATATTCTGAAAAAATTGAGACAGGTGAGGAAGGGGAATGCTGCAGAAAAAACTTGCAAACAGCATCTGTGAGGAGCCATAAAAACAAAACAGCATTGAAAACTAACTGTAACATTACTGGTCTCAGTGGGATTTAGGCAAGCAGGCAAAGCTTTTGGTCATCAGCTGTAACACTCAAGTTGTGATGGTCGCTTGCCAATTAGTGCCTGTACCTTTTGTTTCCCATTAAATGTTAATTAGGGAGTGCTATACACCTGGTGCTTGGAGAGCAGCTCCAGGAGCAGTAGGCAAGAAAAAAGCAGTTAGCAGGCAGGCATCATTTAGTGCAAGAGTGTGCAAAAACAAGGTTTAGAAATGCTGGGTTACAGCTGTGTGAGCTGCCTGGGACTGTGGAGCACTGTGCTTGAGTTACTCCTTCTTGGGTAAGTTAATACTTTCTTGAGTGCCATCCCAGTTCAGAGCTGTAAAGAAAGTCTCAGGAGAATCTGTAATGCAAACAGCGTTCTACTATTGTTTGGTTTAGTCATTTCCAGCTAGGCCAGGCTAAAGTCTGGCCAAAGTAAGTCAAGGAGAGCCAATTAATGTGGAGTTTACAGAAGTGGTCAGTTCAGTTCCTAAAATGCTTTTGCTTCGTTTGTTCTGATTGGTGTACTAAGACTGCGCCTATCCCATGTTTCCATGTGTTTTTATTTTTATATGAGTCACTTAAGTGTCTTATTGGAAACTTTTTTCTCTCCTGTGCCCCTAAAACGTTTTTCCACTACTGTTGATGCAGTGAAAATGAACTGAAAGTTAAGCAGGAGGTGTTTAAATGCTTCCTATTTTTCTTCTGAAGGTTGAAATTCTGACTGTTTGTAGCTCAGTAATTGCTGTGCCGTGCTAATTGAGTCTTACAGTGTGCAGAAGTGAATCAAGGCAGTGAAAGCTCAGGCTGTATGTTTGCAGGTGTTGTTATATATTTCCTTCTCATCTACAAGTTGTTGCTCCTTTTAACTGAGTAATTATTGTTGCCCCTTTATACTGTTATGTGGTTAGACTTATAACTAAAGGCCTGGAGTAGGTCATGAGAGCAAAAGAATATATGTAGATCCTTTGACTGAAGTGATTCCATAAGTAACCTTAATCATGTTTAAGCACCCATGAGGTTCCATACATTCCCTGCCCTTAAGCAGGCCAGCCTCTCCATGCACATTTGCTCCTTGAAGTCCACTGCCTTTCCACAATGTTAAACTTGGAATTGTTTCAGATAGTGTTACGCTGCCCCATGTCCTCGCAGTCTGAATTTAATTTTAAAAAAGAGAGTTAAACAGTGGTCATAGAATCCTGGAATAGTTGGGTTGGAAGGGACCTCAACATTTATCTGTTTCCAACACCCTGCCTTAGGAAGTTACCCCCACCAGATCAGGCTGCTCATGGCCCCAGGAACATCTCCAGGGATGGGACATCCACAATTTCTCCTGTAAAATCCATATGCAAAATAATATTCCAAAACCAAATCTATAGGACTGTGCCACGTCTCATATTGGTACTGTGTTGAAACAAACCATATGTTCCACCCTTCTTTCTCTCTCAGTGCCACCAGGCACTGGTACCATCTCACCCTAGATGGAAGGCAATCTATTTGCGATAACTAGAAATGAAACAAATGCTTTCACAGGAAACACCATTTTGATGTTTCCGTCCAACAAAGCAATGGTAAAGCAACCATAGCAGTTATGTGCATAATGGGGATATACTTCTGTCTGGTGCCAAACATCTGTGCTCTTAAGTACAGCTCGCTGCCAAATTTCAGCCTACTTCCTGACACCGTTCTGCACTGCCTTAGACAAAGTGCAACAGGAAAGGGGGTGGAGGAGGGCTGCTATCCTGTCCCCCATTGAAATGAAAAAAAATCCCTGAGACATATGGTCTTGCATAAAATAACCATCAGAGAGAAGCCTGCTGCAGTGTCAGGTTAGTGGGAATATTCTAATTATACGATGTCAAAGCACTGCCTCATTTGCAGTCGCCGAGTGAACCAAATGTAGATGACAAAACTGCAGGTCGGAAGAGATGCAGATTTTAACAGCATCAGAACCTTTACCCTCACATTACTAAAAACAACTCTAAGCCCAGTGCTTAGCAAGTAATGTAAATAGGAATCTAGATAAACTGCTACTTCTGATAGCAGGAAAAAAAAAGTGCTTTTTTTTTTTTTTTTTTTAAACTAGTAAGTAAAATCTGTCTCAAAACAACTTATCACTAAGGAAACACTAGATCTCAGACTTGTAAGTGCCTCATTTTGAGCAAGATTTACGCTTGTCCTTATGTAACAGAACCGATAGCCATGTGAGGAGAGCTGACAAGTTGTGTCCAAATCACAAGACATGTGTGTGCTCATGAAAACTGGAGCCATGTCAGTTATGCTACTGGTTTATCAAGCTCTCTGTTCTCCAGGAGAACATTATCTGGTTTGTAATATGTCAGAGAACGTCAAATTAAGGGCTGTACAGCAGTGAAGGATAGAGCAGAAAGCGTTCCATTCCAGGCCATTGAGTCCCTTTAACATCTACATGCAGTAATTCCCAGAACTATCTACTCAGTCTCGATCACATGGAAAACATAGCACAGCATTAGCTCTAAACCTTGCACTCAGTGCAGCTCGAATATTAGACCATCCAAGTGGATTAAAGAAGATGACTGATTTAATAGCAATAATTCTTTTAATGATAACTTGTTGCATTTTCCCTCCCCCATCTCCTTAAATGTTTAATAGTTCGCTTCCTGGATTCCCAGGGCATAAACTGAGCATATTTTCTTCCTACAGGAAATGATCCAATTACATTCATTTATAATTGATAATGAACTGTTTAAGCTCATTTTGCTCTTGAAAAATCTTAACAGCTTGCAGTTGGTTTGCTAGTCCTTCTCCCCTTATCTGCAGCTCAGGGACATCATTTAAGGAAAAAGTGGGGAGCTGTCTTAGCATATTCCAAGCAAGTAGACCAGGGATGGATTTCAGCCCTAGTGAGCTGAGCTGTCTCAGGGCAAAAGGGAAATAACTTAGCTACTGATGACTACTCAATAACTAAATTGCTTGCAACTTGGCCAGAGAGGAATCTCAATCACAGAGGGGTTAAGGGGCACCTGGCAGCAAGTGGTCCTACTAATTTCAGTGTAGGCATTTCCATAAAAAAACACTCAGCATTAAGAGCTATTGTGTTTATATATTTATTTATATAAATATATAAATATATTTAAATATAGATATAGTTATATGTATTACTGTTCTTTCAAGAATCATTCTTTCCTGTGGTTCTGTCCCTTTTCACCATCAGCTATACTGCTAGCCAACCTTCTTCCTATTTTCGTTAATATCAATTCCAGTAAAGAGATTTCTAGAGCTAAATGCAGTAGAGCTGCAGGAGAGCTGTCCAGATAATTTAGTGCCTTTCTGCACACCTATACTGAAGTTCAAGACCTAGGGTTGAAATACTAACAGTAAATTTGTAACTGGATATTTGTGGAGATTTTTTTTAATGAAGATAAACTTTATGCTAAGGTTGTGGGTGTTTTTCCCATCACAGTCTTTGCCAATGTGCAAACAACTTCAAAAATACAAGTAAAATACGTACTGTGTAATGCAAGTTCCCAGCTTATATCTGTTGATCAGATTTTTTTCCCCTATGACTAAGGGTGCTTTTCCTGCTTGAAATGCCCAGTTCAAAACTGAGTGCCCACAAAATGAGCAAAAAGAGATGAATGCTCGTTTCTAATCCCTTCCATGTAGAATTCTTATGAACTTCTGTAACAATACAAGATAAAACCATTCTAGACAGAACTGTTTGTTTGGTTTTGTGTTTTTTTTTTTTAAGTCAATAACTTCCTCTTTAGTTCTACATGAGTCAAGTTCCTATAGTTTTATCTGACACCACTTTGTGGGGATTTCTGAAGTATGAAATATATTTTAACTTTGAGTATTAAGTGGTGCTAACTCACATTAGTATAAAAATGCTTTGAAGTCTACTTACAACTGCCACAAATTCTAATAACATTCCTAAAATAAGCTCCACTAATTTAACTTCTACAGGCAGAAACCTTGCCCAGCTCTGCCTGCAGAGACAACTAGGCAACTTTCACTCTCCAGTCAGTAGGGCTTGTGTTTGCATAAATGGAAGAGGAAGCAGGGATCCTTATCTCAATTTGCTTTTCAGAATGTGATACACTCTGACTTGCTGTGCAAGCTACAAGCACAGAAATGTGTCACAAATGCGAGTACAATGTGGAAATATTGCAAAAACAATTGGAAATAAAATTTCATGCTGTCTTATGGTGGAGTTTTATGGGGACAGTACAGAAACTTCAGCCCTATTGGGGAAACACAAAACAGAATAACAATCTTCCAAAGACGACAGCTGCCTGACATCAGGTACAATGTACGCAATAGAAGTAGGGAAGGTTGATTCTACCACAGACTACCCCTGCACTCAAACAGGCAGCAAACAATTCCAGATGGGGTAGGGCAGACAGGCAGTCAGGGTGCTAGAAAACACATGGAGCTATGCAGCAATGGAGTAGAGACATATAATCTCATATAAAGACTCCAATGTTTGATTCAAATGGCACTAGCATCTTTGTTCCCAGATCTTAATCACTTGTGCTCACAACTGTTGTTTCATAATTGACCAAAGTAGTTAGAATGACAGTGTTCAGAACTGCAATGTTTCCTGCTTCTGTGATTGCAGACATACTCTGCTCCCTTGACAGAGTCCAGCACTGTTTTTGCACTACAGAGAAGTTTATCTGATAACTGGTATGTCTCCTGGCTGTCAGTCCCACAGCCTTTAGTCACCTTGTGCAATCTGACCCCCACAAGGAAATTCTCAGTTCGTATTTATTAGTTAGTAGTTAGTATTATTAATAGTTAGTAGCTATTTAGTAAGAACAATGAATCCACAGCATTTCTCCAAGTGAAGGCTCTGGTTCAGCACCATACCGAGCTAGATGCATGTGAGTTAGCAGTTAGACCACTCCTAACTCTGATCATCCTCTCCTTAAGATGTTCCATACCCACATGTCTGATTGTTAGGACAAGTGCTGCCTCAGCAGTCTGACAAAGCCATCTAGGAAGGCAATATTTTGGTTATGACAGATAGACTTAGTCCTAACAATGAAACTTGGAACTTGATCCTTGGGGTCCCTTTCAACCCAAGCCATTCTATGCTTCTATGAAAATGATAAATTCCCAAATGGCTCTTCATTAAATTAAATATACATATATATGATTAAAGTTAATACATATATACATATATATTTAATCTAAATCATTTATGTGAGAGGAAAAAAAAAAAAAACAAACCAATTCCATTTTCTCATACAGTACTAAATTGCCACATGCTGATATAAATTGTGCACTCCAAAAAGCCACACTGCTGTAGCTTGCTCAGAAGGCCATAGTCCATGTAATTACCAGCCAAACTGAATCAGTAAACTGCTCCTGATAGCATAATAAGTTGCCCTCAGCATTTTTCTTCTAAGCTCTACGTTTCCCCTTGGATTTATTTACTCTGACAATGCTGTTCACTTTACTACTTGGTAAAGTTAGATATTAGTGATGTCGGAAGAGCTGGAAACTTCAAAAAACAGTCACCTCTTCACATAAGTCCATGCACAGTTTTTAATTGTTAGGTGGTATTATTTAAAAAAATAATTAAAAAAAAAAAAAAAAATGCACCATGGAGGTGCTTCAATTCTTCCAAACTTCATTGGGATTTTTATCTGAAGTACGAAAGTCTAATTTCAATACAAGCTTTCAAGATCTGAACTCGTTTTTCTCTAAATGCTGATCACCAGCTGTCTTGAACATTAATCCATGGCCATCATTAAACATATTTCACAGAGTCAGAGAATGGCCTAGGTTGGAAAGGATCTTCATGATTATGAAGTTCTCACCACCTCGCTGTGATTTAATGTAACTATCCAAAGAAAATAAACTGTCATAATCGTTTAGACTTCTAACAACTGCAGAAGTAGGTAGAAACAGATACACTTAAGATTAAGCTTATCACTTTTTTTTTTCCATCAGCAAATGATCAGGATTCCTTCAATTTACTGCAGGTATAACAGAACAGCCAAAAAAAAATTTAGAGCTTAAAGTTTGGTAGACACAAATACAGCAGAATAGAGGAGCAGCTTCTCCTGCTATTCGTACTGAACAATTTTGTGTTGCAGTTTTGCTGGAGGGTTTCAATTCTTGGGTCACTGCTATTCCTGTAAAATGTATATTTTATTAAACAAGAAATATTCAACAATTATAATGGAAGGTTTCACAACTGAACCCTTAGCACTGCACTTCAAGCTATGCTTTTGCATGTTTGTGACTTGGGTATTTCCTTTTCCTCTTTTGAAATTATACTTCCCTTTTGTGACAGAGTGTCTCTTTGAGTCTGTATTCTCTAGTGCATTTGCAAACTGAAATGGATTTATAATTGTGAATAAAAGGAAAACTGTTACTATTTCATATTTGATTACATCTTGCTTACCAATTTTACAATATGATGAGAGTGAATTGTCACAGTCAATCAAAACCCTTTCAATGCTAACTGATTTATAACTACAGCATACCAATCATTTTAAAATGCATGCATTTAAAAAAAACAAAAAACAAAAAAACAACAACAAAAAAACAGGGAAAATAAAAACTATGGATATTATGGATACTTCCATCTACATCACATAGTTAAAAACAAGGACAATGATAGCACGTTGTTAACCATCTGCTTCCGATAAAGACATTTAAAGTGCTTTACTAAAGGAGAGAGAATAGTTTTAGATGCCGTGACAGTAAAATGAAACTACACTGAAATTCAGTGGTTTTCAGGAAGTTGGGGACAATATTCTAACCTCTAAAAGTTGTCTGGAGCTATCAAATAATTAGCTTGGCTTTGTTTAATCGCTTAACCCAACAAATAAGAGCAATGAGAAGACAGAGGTGCACTGATATGTTTCCTGGCAGAAAAACTTTCTCATGCTTTTTTGTTGTCATAGAAAACGTTTTCTTTAGGCCCAGATAGCCACAACATACAGTCTTTTTATGGACAGAAATATACAGTGATCCAAATGTTGACTGATCTATTCCAGCTACAGCCTGCTAAACAAAAACCTCAACAACTCATGAGTTCAGGCACAGCTTAAAGGAGTAGACAACGCTGAAGCTGCAGAACAGTTTACGCAAAGTGTTCTTTTTCTGTACAGCTCCTGTCAATCTCAAACTAGTCCTTTAACAATGAGGTGCTGCTGTTAGGTGCATCTTTTCTTGCTGTGCAGATACAATATGCACACATCTGCTACTTCTGTACTGGTCTTTTCACAGGTGCCAAAAGAAGCTAGACTGAGGCTTGTGCAAGCACCATCTGCCAAGCTGACTCTCTACACACACACACACACACACACACACACACACACACCATGGCTGCTAGCCAGAGACTGCCCAAAAACACCTCAGCCAAAAATAGAGGCTAAGGGGACAGCCTACAAGCTATGCTAACTTTCTGTGTATTTTAATTACAGAATTCTCAAGCTGAGCTCTTCAGAATCCTCAAGGGATCATACTCCTGCTGTTTCCTCAGAGAGCCTAAGAAATCCACAGAGAAATTCAGCTCCTGGAAAGGGTCTGATCTGCAGGTTAGTGGCTTCTGTTTGAGATGATACTCTAAACGTAAACATTTATTTCTTTACCTGACTCTGCCTTGACATATGTATTTTGAAATGCAATATCTGTGGAAATTCAGTAGCCTAACCAAGTGGGACTAAATATTTAGCTTTAAGTCTTCCTCTGGTGGCTTCAATGTTGCATTTCTTTGTGCCAGCAGAAGAACTGATTTGTGTAAGTATTTTAAATAGCAAAAACAGAGATTAAAAAAGGAGTACCACATGGGCTGTATCTCATTTCAGGAAAATAAATGTCACTCTATGAAAAGGTTGATTATACGTCTTCAGAATATGCAAGGAAGCTTCTCAAATTACATTTATTTTAAGCAATAATAAGGAAAAAAAAGTTGCCCCATTATGCTTTTAACCTCCACACAAAAAAAAAAAAAAAAAAAAAAAAAAAAAATCAGGCTATTGAAAGGAAGTGATAAATTGATGACTGCATAATATCTTATATGTGAGTGGTATCCTTTATTCAAAAAAAAAAAAAAAAAAAAGGAAATGAATTATAATGACATCACTTTCAGAAAAAGGATTTCATTCTTGGCTTTAAGTTGACAGTAGGCTTTGTTCCTTTTTGCTGCTTACACGCAGCAGCAGTCTAAACCTTAAACAAAGCACACGGCCTTTGGTTGAACATAAAGTAAATAAATTAGGTCCTTACAATCAAACACATCTGCTCTAAGGACAGCTACAATAACGTCCAGCCACTGACCACAAACATAACTTTCCTCTTGCTTTGATCTCTTCTTGCAATTCAGAGTAATCATTTGAAGAGTTCCCTCTCACTAATGAGAGTCTCTCAGTGCACATTTGGGGAAAGAAAAAAAAAAAACACAACTGAAAGTCTCATTCCTTAGTAGAAACACAAGTGGTTAAGGTCTAGCACGTATTTAGAATGCTTCTCTGAATACAAAGACTTGTGCAATACATATTTTTTACTCATTCCTAATGATTTCAACCAGTTATTCTCAACTTTCCTGCAGTAATGGCCTCCATTTACTTTAGATGAAGTCTGCAACAGCCATACCTCAATGTATTCTCCTCAAACTCACTTAACAGAGCTTGGAGTCATCAAACTCCATACAAGGTCTGAGCATGAACACTTGCAGAAGTGGTAGGTAATGCTTATTATCAGAACTGCATTTCTAAGATATGGAGGAGGGAGTATAATGCACTGGATTTGCAGATTTAGGAACCGGTTCTGCCTGGAAAAGTAAGTGGAAGTGGAGAGTATGCTATAATCTTCAGGAAATGTTCTTGCCTAGTACTCACAGAATTGATTATCCCTTTAAGTGCTTGGAATCCTCCAGTGACAGGGAAGACTTGCTCTTTTGTGTCAGCAATTCTTTCAAGCTTTGGAGAGAACACAAACATGCATGTGAATCACTTGGCAAATTAAACACTTCATATGACTTTTCAGCATTAAAATATAAAGGGATGAGGAAAAAAAAAAAACAAAAAACCCACCACTTTTCATCACCCTTGCAAAAAGAAGGAAAGTTTTGAGTTCTTCTCAGCTATAGAAGCTACCTCTAACTTTTCTAAATGGGAGGATTTGCTAGAATGTATTGCAGCAAACTAAATTCTATAGTAGCTATCCATCACATCAAACAAACACAATAAAGGAACCTTTTAGAGCTTGTGTTTTGGTGGTAATTCTGAATTTCTTTCCAGAGTTACCTTCCCTGTTTGCTCTGCCTTACATTAAAAGGCCTTTCTATGTGCCTTTACAGTAGCAAAATACCTCTTGCACTCTTTCACCTGACCAGAGTAGCTGCATTGACTATTAGGACAGTTCTGCCAGAGAATAGAAGCTCTGGAAGAACTTCCAATCAATGAAGACAAGGATCATGGATCCTTAGTTTATTTTCATTTTATCTTTCTTCCCATTTCCTTTAGCTGTTACATGCTCTGCTTAGCTTGTCTGGAGCTACACAGTAGACACAGCGATGTCATATATACACTGTTGCCTAATCTGGTAACTGTCTTACTGGAAGAGTTTTACTTTTGCTACAGACAGCTATAAGTTAGCAAGGATATAGCCTGCAGCTTTTTTCTACAGTAAAAGTGACACCCACATATTCTACTTGTGCCTGTAAACACATGGGAGTGTCTGCCAGTGAAGGTACAGTACAGCCTAATGTATAATACTGAACATGAACCATATAAAACCCTGCAACGTGCTACAATCTAGTCATCTGAAATAGTAATATTCTTACCTGTGCTTGTACAAAATCAAGGACGCCAACACAGTAAACTCTAGCCCCCAGCTGTCTGGATGTCTTCGCCTGTCCCAGAATAGAGAGGAATGAGTATTTTTTCATCCAGTGGTCATTACAAACTCTTAGAATATGTGTTTTCAACTAGTGCTCACCTCTTTTTCTGCATACAAAGGAATCTGACCATCTAGCTTGCCATCTGTCAGCGCAATGATGATGCTAGAAAACCTCGATGCTCCCTGCTTCTCAATCTGCAAATTGGCCTGAAAATGAAAGATATTTATTGCACTTAAGATTATATCTTAACTTTTAACTAGGACGTTGGTTATAAGTAAACAAAGTGTCTCATCTGAACAACTCTGTTTCATCTTCATACTTATCTCCTCAGATAATCCCCTTACAAATTACAAACAAGGAAATCATTTATCACTACAGTCCAGTCAGCAGTGAGTTCATCTCTGAAGTACTGGGGTCATTCATTAATAGACCTATTCTTGAAAAAAAAAAAACATACCTTCACAGCTCTTTAAATCCACCACAAGATTTCCTTTGCTATCCATGGATTTTAAATGTCAGTCAGTAGGTTCCAAGATATAAAGATAATGGCTTAATGTTACAGTTGTTTTGCTTCGTTTTCCTTTTAAATAGTAACAGTCTTTTGTTTGTCGAACTGTTCAGCCCAAAGATTGTAATTACAATCTTGGCTCTACGGATATTAAAGGAAAAAAAAAAAAGTTTCTACCCATGGGATGAGAACAGAGGATATTGTGATTGCAAAATAATGAGCAAAACCCACCTGTTTTAACCCCTCATGTATATATGTGTCACCTGCTGGTTTCACTTCTGACAAATTCTTGAGACCTTCCTTGATTTTCTCTCTGGAGGGAAAAAAAAAAAAAAAAAAAGGTAAAAGACTTAGCATCAACTTACAGTAGGCAAAGGTGGAAAAATAACATTTATAATAAATGAGATCTGAAATAAAAATCTGTGAAATACAGCACGTAGCTGAGATATAACGTGGAGGCAGATTGTCTGCTCATCATAAAGTGCCTGTTGTAACAGTTATTTTAGATCTCAATAACACAGGATGCCTTGATGAGTCAAAGGCCCATACTCAGTAAAACCCTTCAGAAGGAGGAGATGCTGCAAAGAAGTGGCCGTGCCTCAGCATTAAAACAGCTCAATGGTAATTCTGTTATATTCACTTCACTTTGGTCGATTAAACTGACTTCATTTCCAGTCACACTGCAGTTAGAAAAGGAAATTCCTAAGGGAGCAGTTCTGTTTCTAGTCAAATCATCCAGATCAATATACAGGTATGAGGTGGGAAAAAAACTGCAATAATTTAAAAGCAAGCATCAACAGCACCTGCAAGACACCTTTTATCCAAAGCTCTCATGGCTTTTCTGCATGAGCTTTGACAAGATGTCATACTTGCAAAGGCTGCAGCTCACTTACATTTAAAAGAATACGCTTGTGCTATTATTTCTCATGGGCCTTTGAATAAATCCATCACTGACTGCAAGAGGCTGGGTTAACTGAACAAAACAAATCTAAGTAAAGACAGGAAATCTGGACAATAACTATAAGGAAAAATCAGGAAATGAGCAAGAGCAAAGAGATGGAGGGAAAATGCATTGCAGGATTTATGAAAGGTTTTCCTAAAGCACATACACACACACACACACACACACACACAAAAAAAAAAAAAAAAAAAAGACAGAGAAGGAATGCATATGCTGCTCTGCCTGAATGCCACCCACAAGTCATTTGTTCCATGGATGGGGTTTTTCTATGTGTAGAAGCTTTGTTCCTAAGTACAATCCATTGATGTAGTAAGCTCCCAATCACAGGATCAACTGATAGAATTTAAAACTTAAAAAAAAAAAAAAAAAAAAAAGTTGCATGAATATATGGAAAGTAAGTTACGTAAGATAATACAATCTGTTTGATCCAAATATTTTATATTCAGCATCTATAGAAACAACTTGAAACTGATTATGTACGAAGGCAGATTATAAACCACATACTCAGTGCTTGCCAGAATGAGTGGCAGCACATCACAGGCGTTAGTGTTCTGCTGCCAAGAAATAAGCAGCAACCGAAGTCCCAGTTTTCTGAAACAGATTTCATTCTGCAAAAATAACTTTTGTACAATCAGTTGGGCTTTATTTATCTGAAATGTCTTGTGACCCAGGCACACTGAAATCTCTGGCGTTTCCAGGCCTCTGCCTACAAGAGGTTCCAGGAAAATCTTTGGCAGCAACAGCTTTTTTAGCTGCAACTCCATCAGTCGCCGCCCCTTTCTCCTAGGGCACGTGTTGCAGATCAGCCCAGCCAGATGCTTTGAGCTTGTCAGGTAGGACTCAGTCCTAGTGTGACTGTCATGAGGCCAACGCAGAAACCCAAGGCCTGAGCAGACGATTCCCAAAGACAGCGAGAGTGGGGTTGGCTGAGTTACCCTACAACTTGTACCCAGGAGGTTTGAAGGGCTGACACAGGAGCCTGTGTCTGCCTGAATCTTTCTAAATTCTCCCCTCCCTGGTTTCTGTAATGATCTATTGTAGCCAGAGAACACTGCAGAGAAGATCTGGTTTTACAAGAAACTCGTCTGAACTGAAATAACAGAGCCATGACCTCAGTCTGGGTGTCTGGACACAACTGCAGCAAAATTCAATAATGGTAATACAGGCTGGATTGCCTTTGGCTTCATGGTTTAAGTCAAATGCGGGAGGGAAATGGAAAACAAAATGATATCAGCAACTTAGAGCTTCTCTGTGACTGAGCTGAATGAGCACAGACTTACTAACTCTTCCTCATTCATTGTATATGCACACATTCATTGTATATCACACCTCTCTTTGAGAAAAGGCACATTCAGTTTGTAACAGCTACCCTGTCTCTCAGAAACTTTGCAACTACTTCCAATAAATCTCCCAGTAGCAGGCAGGCAAATGCATCTGCAGCTAAGTGTCCTTTGCCAATTTGCTCTGGGGTTTCTTTTTGGCTCCTCAATGGAGTTCTGCCAAGAGGGGCTGCAGGCACAGCCCCACTGTGGCTAAAAAAAAAGAGGCGATAGCAGCGGCCTCTGCAGTGCCCTTAGAGGAACCCTGCCATGCTCCATCTCAGAGAGCAGGACCTCATGCCAGCATTACTCACTCCAGCTGGAGAGAGCTTGTTGGCTGTGTGAAAGCTGTGCCAACTCCTTCGGGAAGCATGTGGGCCTGTCTGCAAACACTACTCCCTGCTTGGGCCAAAGGCTGCAGTTATGTTGTCTAGGTGTCTCAAGTCAAGGGTGCTACCTATTGCTTTTCTAAAGTTTAATTGGCACAATGCTAATAAGAGTGCTGTCAGCAGTCCAGTGGTCTGACTGCTGATGTTGCTGATATGTTGCATTTGGACATGTACAAAGAGACAGGATTTATCCTTGCTAGAAAGCAAAGCGTGCTTGAAGACAGAAGCTTAAAAGCTATTCAAATCATTGCTTTTTCATAGGTACCAGTCCGAGAAACAAAGGAACAGTGCTCTTTAAGAACAGAAAGGATGGCCGCACCCCCAGCAAACACAGCTTGTCCACCAGTGAGAGTTAACTCTGCGCATCAGCTAGATGTGTGATTTGAAGGAGCTTCTGGCTTTCTACAACTCTCAAATAGTACAGAGGGCCATGCACAATAATACTTATTCTGCTTAAAATGTTAAGCCTCCTGCATGGGCTCTGGGTAGAAGAAAGACAAGTACCATCAGAAACCTGAAATTCTGCTAGCCAGCATGAAACTGGCCCAAGGAGAATGCAGGAACTGTTCCTAAGTGTAACTGCTTTTCCAAGCAACTTGCTTTTTAAAACTAGCAGCACAGCTGAGACCCACATGTGAATGCACAAATTTCTGCTGACCGTTTGCTTATCGTATCCAGTCAAATTTCACAGGGGAAATGTGCATCTCTACAACAGCACGTAAACAGCATGAGAAGTCTTTTCCATTCCAGTGTTTTTTTCTATGTATTTATCATAGCACTGTGTATACTGAGGTTAGCAATGACTTCTGTTTGCAGAGTTATCCACACAGCACTGTTCGCAGTCACAAAATGTTTGGTAATCTGGGGCCTTAACCACTATAGTGTGGCTTTCTTTATATCCACAGCTTCATAATGCAGTAAAAAACAGCAGTAACTGTGTGCAAACAATTAGAATCCTATGGCTTTTAAAATAAAAAAGACCTCCCAGCTTTGAGCTGACTGCTGGGAATAAATGGTGGTTTCCTGGCATTTGTGAATTAGCGAGTGAGGGGAAAAATATCCCAGCACGGCCAAAATGCACATAAACTAACAAGGCTGCATCATCCCATCATCACACACAGTGCAGTTTCACATCCCTGATCCCGCACTGCACTTCGCATCCTCATCTCCCATTCAGAACAACTAGAGTGTGGAATTCCAAGAAATTTTTAACTGCTGACTTTCTGTATTTAAATGACGACTGTTCCAGCTGTACCCATCCCTTCTTGCTGATCTGCATAGGGTTGCAGACACTCCTGCCCCCTTCTTCATCTCCCTTATAATTCCTCCTAAGCAATAAGGCTTTTTTTTGCCCATGCAGGGATGCACAAAAGCAAATCTTGCAATGAAGAAAAGCTGGACAGAGGAACTCACAGCAACTAAATGGGTTCTTCCCATGCTTTAATGTAGGCTTCCACAGCCTGAAGAGTGCAACTGTCATGCAGTGAGAAAGGCACTTGTGTTTCCATGGCATGATTCCAGAGTTCTGCCCAAGCATTCAGAGTGGTCTGTGTGCTATCAACCAGTTTGATAAGGAGCAGGCTATTGGCAGGGATTAAGGGCCCATTGAAACGGAGAGAAAGGATCTCATTGACTTGAGCAGTCCTTGGAATGGGCTTATATGTCCTCTCATGACCTCTCTCAAGCCATCTGGAAAAATGGCTTATAACCTTGTCTGTCCCTGCAGAGAGCAGATCCGGCACTGGAGTGCGGGTGGGGGGAGACTCTTGGCTGGTCTCAAATCAGACCACTTTTTGAAATGCTAAACAGGAGGGAAACTGTGTCATTGGGCAGCCTGCTTCTAGGGTGCCAGACTGCTTGTTGCCAATGTGTTCTCTTGTTCTCTTCAGTGTTGTACTTGCTATTATGAATTATTTTTAAAAAATTAAAAAATAAAAAAAAAACAAACAAAAAAAAACCCACAGTAAACTGAACAAATAGGAGAGATCGTGCTTTAGCTTGACTCTACTGAAAGGAACAGAAAGGAAGAACTACCTCCCTTTCACTTTGACACAGTTCATTAATGATTCCTATGTGATTTATCCAGTTGCTCCAAATCCACAGAGTTGTGAACTGTGTCTGGTTTCTGGACAGAAGAGAGACAGCAAGGACGTGATCTGATAGGTTTTAAAGGATTTCACCAGGACCCTGGTGGTTTGAGACATTTTCTACAAAACTGTTTCCTATTCTTGTAAAATCAATGCAAGTAGCCTTGTCTTCCACTGCACCTGAAAACATCGGTCGTGGAAGGGATCAGGCACATCAAAACATGTCCATGGTGCCAGAAAGACCTCTCACCTTCCAAATGACACAAACTTCACTGTCTAAAGCCTACCCTGAAGTAGAAAATTACAACTAGAAAATACCTACCTTATCTGAAAGTATAGGAAGCATTAATGTACCACTGCATGCTTTACCTATAGACATCAAGTAACACTGAAGGCTTTTATTTACAGACTTTGCTTTACAAAATTAAATCCAGATCTGCACAAAGGCCTCATGACTGACCACCACCTACAGGTATCAGTTATTGTGCAGTATCTGCTCCTCTGATTTAATAAGAGCCTTTGGTGGGGAGAAGGAAAGAGGGAAATTAAAAACGCAGTGCACTAACCTGTCTCCAGTTAATGGCATAATGACTTGTGCCTGGGAGGAAAACACGATGAATGATAATCTCATCTTGGGGCTTTTAAAAGAGGGAAAAGGAAAAAAAAGATTTTAGTCAAACAAAAAGAACAGATGCACATATTCCATTCATGTACTCATGTTTTATTATTATTGTCTTTATCCTCTAATTTCAGAAGAACACACTTTCAAACAACTATACCAAGAATGAGAAAGGAATTAATGTGCTTATGTCCATCTCTCTTCCAGATCTACATTGAGAACAAAGTAGCTGAAATATTATTCTTTCCTGCCTGACTGAAATCCAAATCAACAGGTGCTGAACTTAAGAATTAGAAAGTCATGTGACCCAACAGAATGTAAATCCAGGGGTTGTGATCTACCAACATTTAAAAAATGTGTTTTCATGGTCATTGGTGTAAAGATAAGTTGGAGCCATACACTCAGGGCACGCTCTTGCTCTGGTGTATTACACATGGATACATGCAAAAGGTAGTTACTGCTTTATAAAGTTTGATCCCATCACAGAATAATTTACAAAGTGTAGCTTTGCATCATAGAATCAGCAGAATCAAAGTAGTAGCACTCTTTGTCCCTTTCCTCTCTAGAAAAGTCTTTCAGACATCTCTACACAAACTCCTGATTTCAGAATGAGAGTGTTTCATCAGTGACACAGAGTTGTGTAACTTAAGATCAACCTCCATAAAAGGATCCAGGAAATTGGCACTGTGAAAAGAATTGTATGAAATTATTTTTACTAGGAATTAAGTCTTTTTTGGAGAAACCTACTTGTCTCTTCCAGCAAGATTAAGAGGAATTACCTGCAAACATTACTGGAAAATGCATTCCCTAGGAACTTACATTCCAGAAGGCCAAGATAATAACTTTCCCAAGGTAGGTCCCAACAACACCTGTCCAGCTTGCCTTCAATTTTTATTCATGCCTATTTCAATATATTTGGTAATTTTCATAAATCACAGTGTATGTAATTATAACCCAGGCTGCGTGTTATCAGCTGTGTTAGATGCTGTAAGCAGTTGCCCAATAACAAACAACCAAAATCCCCATCTCTGTGGATTACCTCACCACCCAGCCCAAGCAATGTGAGACTTCCCTCTTTGAGACACAGCTCTCTGCTGACCAAAACCTCAAAGTTAGAACGTAACTAACTTCAGGAAACTGTCCTCTTCATAAGAAATTCCATTTCAATTTGCGTTCCCAGCACTCAGGTGATGGAGGAGCATCGTGTGAGTATGAAGCAACCCTGCCCTTCAGAACCAAGATGCCCAACACGCAACACTGTCACTACAAACACTGTTTTGCAGACAAGCCAGAATGGCAAGCAAATGAACACAAGGCACACAGCTCGGAATAAATTCTTCAGTGAAAGCTTTTGCTGAAGAAAACTGTTACCAAGTGGTTCTCTGTGGTTCTGCCCACAGCTACTCCCTTCAGTTTAAAAATGGCAGCCAGAGCTCCTCTCCACAACTGCTGCAAGGAGCAGTTTGGATGTACAAGGTGAGGAACTGGATTTACACTGAACAAACACCACTCTTTCAGTGGGACAAGAATCACTCACTGCAAAAAAAGTTGTGCTATGATCTCCCAGGCTTTCTTTTTTTCTTTTAAAGCTTATAGAACTTCCAGCACCTCAGGTCATCCACTTGCTCTAGGCAAGGTTTGCTTTGCAGATGATGGATGTGGGAAGTATTAAATTACACAGCCCTATCTGTATCCTGCTATTAGATTCTAAGTGCCCACTCACGTCTTTTGCCTTAGCAGAAACTGCCACACGGATATGTGTGTGCTGGGGGCTATTTGTTTCAATCATTTCAATTTTCTTTTAAGGAGATGCTACTGCACAGTCACCCTCATCTGGTTGCATTCAGCTGTAGCTAGCAGTGTTTGCACAGCATTCCTGCAGCACCCACGCTTGCCAGCTACACACAGAGCTGATTACACATCTGCACAACACGAACACAGTCACTATGGCACAAACTTCCTGGGAATTTGTCCAGGCCTGAATCACAGAATCATAGGGATTAGAAGAGACCTCTGGAGATCCCCCAGCCCAACCCTCCTAAAGCAGTTCCCTGCAGCAGCTCATACGGGAAAGCATCCAGGCAAGTACTGAGAGTCTCCAGAGAAGGAGATTCCACAGCCTCTCCGGGCAGCTGTTCCAATGCTCTGTTACCCTCATAGGAAAGTTATTCCACATGTTTGTAAAGAACTTCTTATGTTCCAGTTTGTGCCCCTTGTCCTGTCACTGCACACCACAGCAAAGAGCTTCGTCCCATCCACTTAAAGTTGTTCCATATCATTGCACCACATATTCACACACAGACAGACCCATAACCAAGCAGCCTGCTTTACCTACAGCTCTGAATGCAATCTTCAAGAAATATTATATCAGAAATAAACCGTGTGGCTCACGGAGAAAAAAAAAAAAAACAAAAACAATAAAAATGCTGAACGGTATCTGTAAGTAATTTAAAAGACAGCATCCAGAGGTGCATGCTATCACCTTTTTATGCAGTCCCAAACACGAGGAGACGGAATGAAAGTTTGCACTGTTTTCTAGCGATCTGGGCACGGAAGCCAGCCTCTCAGCGTGTTTGTGCAACACATCTACAGAGCTTACAGATGTTAGAAGGACCGAAACGCACCTCACAAACCGCTCCGTCAGCTGGTTCACGAAGTCGAAGATCTCGTGCCAGTTCTGTGCCACACTCCCGGATCTGCAGAGAAAGGCAGTGCACATCAGCAGCCTTACGGACAAAGGGCAGAGGGGCCGTTTCTGGGAGGGATTCGGACCGCGCGGGGCCCTTCGCTTCGCTCCACGCCGCGGTGCCTCCTCCCTCGGCACAAACTTCCCGCACCAACAGCTGCCGCGGGGGAGGGGCGGCAGATGCTGCCCGAAAAACGGATTTTTTCCCCTCGGAAAACGCGTTTTGCACTCAAACTCCCTCCCGCGATCAGCGGGTGAGGGCATCGCCCCCGGAGCCGGGCCCCCCTCGCTCGCCCCCCGCCCGCACCCGGTGTCCGGCGGCAGACAAAGCGGACCCGCGCAGCCTTACTTGTCCAGCACGAAGTACATGTCGAAGGCGCCGTGGCACGACGGTTGCTCGGCGGCCGGGGCCGGGCTGGCGGAGGGGAGCAGCAGCGGGAGGAGGATGAGGAGCGGCAGCGCGGGCCGCGCCATGGGGCCTCGGGGCGGCGGTGAGGGGACGCGGCCCGGCGCGGCCGTGCTCCGCTCGGCGCTGCTGAAGGGCCGCCCCCCGTCCGACCCTCCCCCGCCCTCTCCTCTCCGTGTCGCCCGAGGCGGGGGCCGGGGCCGGCCGGGCTCGGCGCGCCCCTTTGCGGCCTTCCGCCCGCCTCCCGCCCGCCGCCGCCGCCGCCTCAGGCGCCTCCTCCCCGCCGGTCCCCGGGGCTGGGAGCGCACTGTTCCGCAGTAACCACGGGAACTCCGGTTAAATCGGAGCCCGAGCGTCTGGCATTGCGCTCAGACAGCCCGCGGAGCTGCCCCTCGCTGGGACTCAGCCCGAACGTGAGCGTGGAGCGTGCCACCGCTGAACTAGGGACCTCACACGGAACGTACTGACACTGTATTGTTTTTATGATTTTTGTTACATCCTTTGTGAGTTCTCACCCTTTGCCGGGGCTGCTGAGCCATCAACTTTTCTCCAAAACCACATAAAGCTCTTCCAACTCATAGAGCCACGGAATCACAGAACTATCACTGAAGCTGGCTGTCTATGGTTTGGGCAGGTTTATTATTCTCGGTGTACAAAACCAGCTGGAGGGCTGGGCATGGAAAGTGGTGGCGAATAGAGTTAAACCCAGTCATGGTTCCCTATGGGTCACTGCTGGGGCAGCCCTGTTCAGTATCTTTATTGATGATCTGGAAGAGGAGATTGAGTGCACCCTCACTGAGTTTGCAAACAACACCAAGTTTGGGGGAAGTGTTGATCTGCCTGAGGATAGGAAGGTCCTATAGAGGGATCTGCACAGTGACAGTCAGTCGTGCAATTGGGCAGAGGCCAATTGTACGAGCTTTAACAAGTCTGAGTGCTGGGTCCTGCCTTTTGGTCAAAGTAGCCCCAAGCATTGCTACAGGCTTGGGGAAGAGAGGCTGGAGAGCAACACAGAGGAAAAAGACCTGGGGGCATTGGTTGACATCCATGTGAACATGAGCCAGTAGTGTGCCTAGGTGGCCAAGAAGGCCAACAGCATTATGGCTCATGTCAGAAATGGTACAGCCAACGGAAGCAGGGAGGTGGTTATTGCTCTGTACTCAGCTCTAGTGAGGCCCGACTTCGAATATTGTGTTAGGACCCTCACTGTAAGAAAGACATCGAGGCCCTGGAGCATGTCCAGAGGAAGGCAACAGAGATTAACAGGTTCAAGAGCACAGATTTTATGGGAACAGCAGAAGGAACTCAGATTGTTCAGTTTGAGAAGGGGCAACTCATGGGAGACCTTATTGCTCACTGCAACTGCCTGAAAGGCAGGTAACAGTGATAGGAAAAGAGGGAATGGCCTTAAGTTGTGCCAGGGGAAGTTCAGGTTGGATATTAGGAAAAAAAATTATTCTCAGAAAAAATGGTGAGGCATTGGAACTGGCTGCCCAGAAAGGTGGTGGAGTGATTGTCCCTCAAGAACTGTGCGAATGTGGCGCTGAGGGATGTGGTTAGTAGGCATGGTGAGGGTGGATTGGTGGTTGGGCTTGGTGATCTTGGAGGTCTTTTCCAACCTTAATGATTCTGTGATTCTATAATATCCATGTTCTAGAACCATAGATTCACAGAATATCCAAGTCATAGAACCATGGAATCAGTGAATGCTCAAGTCATAGACACAGACTCACACAGCACCCTGTATTGAATGGAGACACACAGATCATTGAGTCCAACACTTGAACCCACAAAACACCAGCCATGTTCCAACCATGCATGTTGACCAATTTCTCTCCATTTCAATGTGGTTGCCTCTGAAATACATAGCTTCACAATAGACTGTGCAAAGCTAAATATAGAGTGAGCATTTGGTCTGAAGCATAAGCCGGATCCTTAGCAGTGAGCATGAGGCACTGCAGAAAGCGTTGCAAGAATATTATCCTTTGGATTTTGCCATCTGGGCCTTCAGGTTTTCACAGGAAGTTCAAATATGCTTTATAATCTTAAAATATTTTCTGGGGGCTAAAAAGATGAGCAAGTTTTCTCTGATGAAAAGCTCCAGCCACAAGCTGCATAAACCAAAATTATCTCCCAAGTTAAAAATAAATGTCTATCCACTATTTCTTTGTTTCCTTTGCTGAGTTTTTGCTACAAGCACTCTGAGACAAGAAACCAATGGGACTGGAATTAAAAAGGGTTATTCTTTTGTTCACTGTTTTGTTTCAACAGCCTTTAATCCAGGCAGCTTTGGCTTCTAGTGGACTGCATTCAAAGCTCCAGTGGTGGAGAGCCAAAGATGTGCAATTCTCCAACTCCTCAGTCCTCAGTATTTTTCTGGTTGGGGCTCAGCTCAGCATTCTGTCTCATGAAATCATAGAATCACAGAATATTCCAAGTTGGAAAGTACACATAAAGGTCACTGGGTCAAATTCCTGGTTCCACACAGCACCACTCAAAAATCAGACCATATTACTAATAGCTTTGTCCAGACACCTCTTGTGTTCTGGCAAGATCAATGCCATGATCTGCCCTGAGGAAACTATTCCATGCCCTCATCCCCCTAGTGAAAAACCTTTTCCTAGCACTCAGCCTGACGTTCCCCTGGTCTCAGAATATGTTACGTTCTCCTAGCAAAATGATGTGCTGGAGCTTTCAGCTCTACCCCAGCTTGCATCCCACCATGGCATCCATCATAGGAGCAGTGGATCAATGGGGCTGTCCATCTGGGGAAAGACAAAGCATAGTTCAGTTCGTTATCTTCATGGAGCCTCCATCTCTGAGTCAACATCATTCACGTGACAAGATAGGGGAAGGAACCTGCGTCAGCCACAGCTGTGATGAGCTGGCCAAGCTGGTATCTCTGACATCCATTGGATGATGGGTGACGTCAGAGATTCCGTCATCTTCCTCTCACTTCCAGCACACAGCTTTCACACACTGCACTGGTCATTGGAACCACAGGACTCCACACCAAATTTGAAGTATTTTCTTGCTACATCAAATCACAACACAGTTCCCCTATAGTAACATCAAACAATTGCTTTCTGTTTCCCTACTGCATACTTATAAACAACCTTGATCTGTAAATAAGTACTACCCCTTACAGAAATAGTGACACAAGGACAGCAGAAGTTGGGTAGAGGAATACCTGTGGTACCCAAAGAAATGCTCCATGCCATATAATGTGCTCAGCAGCACAAAAGGAAAGAGAAAGGCACCTGAAATTTAATCCTCCCTGTATCGCACTTCAGTAACTTAATGGCTGAAAGCTTCATCCACACAAGCACGATTTACATCCACCAAGGATCTGGCGCATGAAATTTTTTGTATTTGTGAGCTAGCAAGGCTAAAGGGCAAGTGAGCTGCATTTTACAGTCCCTGTGGGTGTTCAAAACACAGCAGATTAAGAGCTGAGCACCCACAAAGATGTGGCAAAAGCAAAGGCTGTAAATCTACTGCATTTAAGGACTGCAGAGCAGCACTGACCTCTCTCTCTGCAGGCCCGGCAGAGGGTTCCCAACACATACCTGAGCTCAGCCTGCAGAGCCCTCCCCAAGCCTTGTGAGGATGTGTCACATCATCCAGCTGTTGGAGACTGCTTCAGCTGCTTACAGAGATCCAACCTTGCCAGCCCGAGGTCTGTGACAGCTGGAAGCTGCTCCTTCCCAGGTTCCAAGTGTGTGTAAATTCCTCTCTCACTCTGCGGTTTCTGCTGAAGCAGCGGATAACGTGAGCCTGCTTTACTGGAGGAGTGAGATGAAGCAGAGATGGACCGGAAAGCACATGGCAGTAGATAATGGATATTTACATGGATTTGGCTCTGGCTGTGTTTAAGCATCTTCCTTGCCTAGTTCTCAGAACCCATCAGACCATTCTCTCTCCCACCTCTTTCCTTGCCTCCTCCATTGCTACAGGAATGAAGAAAGGTTAATGAAGAGCAGCAGCAGAAGTGGTCCCTGAAGCAGAAGGAGGGGTTCCTGCTGCTCTTGCCTGCACCAGGAGACCTCTGTCTGACACTGAATCAGATACCTGTGGGAGCACTTTGGGCAGTGCTCCCACAACTGCAGCAACAACTTTTGACAGAGAAGATGTATGCAGAAACCAGCACAACTTCACTGCCAACTTCTGTCTTACAGGACTGGTGATACAGTGGCGCAGGCTGTCCAGGGAGGTGGGAGAGTCACCATCCCTGGAGGTGTTCAGGAACCATGGAGATGTGGCACTGGGGGACATGGTCAGTGGGCATAGTAGGGATGGGTTGGAGCTGGACTTAGTGATCATGGAGGTCTTCGCCAGCCTTAATGATTCTGTGACTCAAGGCAACACAACTTGGGCTGTCAACACCAAGTCTCACCCTTTGCAAAGAAGGAGAGCAGACACAGTGAGTCCAGGAATTGTACATTGTGCAGCCATCATCAAGGAGCTGCCTGCTGGAGGATTACCCAAACAAATTCTTCCTCTGCCTTACAGATGTAGCCCACTGGTCTGCCTGCATTCTGCACATCAGTGTATAAATGAATAAATAAAAAGGATAGCATTAAGTAACACAGGAACTCGTGTCCATGTACTGCATGTACTGCTGGAAAATATCTGTCTAGACAAATCTGGGAATTATGCAAGCTCAGAATTCCTGAATAGTCACTGCTTTCCAACACACCAAAACAGTTTGTGATACCTACTGGAAATACATAGCCAAAAACACAGAGTTAGAAAGCCAACCCTCAAGTCCAAAAACTAGGAGTCCTGAATGTCAGCAATGTGTTTGCTTCCATATGAGAATATGGAGATCTGTTAGTGATCTGTGCACAATGGGCCTTTAGTTGCTGTCAGTAACGAGTGATACTATTCCTAGTCTCAGCAAAGCAGAGAAGGTCCCTGATTTTCTAACACAAAGTCTGCACAGGGATATGCAGCACTGTTTTCCACATGAGCAGAGTGACTGAAAAGGAAGATGAAGTTGTGTGCTATCCCAGTGCAAACCTCACAGCGTGCAGCTAAATCACCCTTGGCCTGGGAGAGGGAAAAAAAAGCATGATGGAAAAATCAAATCTTATGCCAGAAGCGGCTGCTGGCTGGGAGCAGCACTGAGGAACGGATGACTCCGGATGGGATTTTTGCACAACTCTGGGGCTGCAGTGACCCTGTTTGGTCTTCTTGGGAAACAACGCATGGCCACAGCAGGGAGCAGTTCAGCATATCCCCTCAAGGGAACAATGCATCTCTGAGTGGGCAACTAAAGGTAAAAAGAATAGGAAGAAAAAGTGGCATGTCTTCATACTCCAAGCCTGCATCCACCCAAGCCATGGGACTTGCTGGGCTTTACTGCTTACTCTAAAGGAAAGAAGCAAACCCTATCTTGGGTGCATCAAGCAGAAATGTAACTTTTGTTCTGTGGAGTTTTGCAGGTTGAAAACCAAAGCTCTTTGGGGATGGAGGAAAGAAAGAATATGGTGCTGTCAGATCAGTGTTCCCTGCATGGTGTAGGGATAGAAAGGGAACATAACCACTGGGAGGATAAATGATGAAAAACTGCATACATCACTGTTTTGGGGGAGCCTGCATAAATGTTTGTGCTTTGCAAGGCTCAGAGATGCAGCACAGCTCCCCCTGACAGTGTGCCCGACAGCCTGAAAAAGCAGATGTGCCAATTTCCTGTGCTTGATGATGATGGCTCCTAATTACGCCAGAGCTGTGGCAATGTCCTCTCTGATGCATGACTCTTAATTTTGTTTCGTGAAGTCATCTGTGCAACACTCTTCCGGCATACGATCACCAGCAAGCCGTAGTCACGGAGAGCTGCACTTGCATACGCTGCCCTGCAGCTCAGTGTTGTGATGGGGCATACTGAAACACCTTGCTTTGATTGGAGCATGAAGGTCTGGAAGAGAGTTTTGTGGGGGTTTTTGTTGGTAGGGTGTAGCCCACAGCAGCTGGTGGTGGGTCTGTGATTATAAGAGGCAACACCTGAGTCCCCTTTCTTTTTTGCTGGGAATGTGGTGCAGCTGTGGGACAGACCTCTCAGGGCTTGGCTTAATGAGTTTGGCTGCTCCTACACCGTGGGGTGAGGATGCTGTTGGAGGGACTTGGGCTGCGCTGAGGAAATCTCTATGCATCTATCATAGAGTAACTGTGAACCTGCAATGGTCAAGGCAACGGGCAGCTGGAGGAGATGGATATGATAGGGTTGTGTAGGGTGAAAAAGGAGACAGTGGGCCTTTTCAGGAGGTTTTGTGAATTGCTACTCACAGGTAAGAGTTGGAGTCCAGTGGCATGGAGGTTGAGGAGGAATGAGTGGGGTCTACGGTGTGGGCTCCTGCTCTGTTTTCTGGTCCAAATCTCCCGGTACGGAGTCCTGATCTGATAGGGAAGAGAGAAGCACTGTGGCACAGAGCCCTTGAAGCAACTTCCTTGGGAGAGACAGGGTGGGAAGGTTGTGCAGTTGGTATCGTGGGAGACATTTGAGGCTTAGCATATTGAAGTCCAGAGTTTGAATATGAATTGATTATTTATTATATTTTGAGCAGGTGGCTTGTCTGGATTGCATAACATCAGGCCATGGCCAAGTGGGCAGCACCAGTGCCCACGTGTGCATCAATCCCGTGCCTGTAGCAGTTCCTGTCTGCCAAAGGGTAAGAGTTTGTTGATGGATGGAGGGAAGTGGTTGTGATCATTTTAACTGGTGTTTAGGTTGGATTTTTAATTTTTTTTTTTTTTACTCTAAACTACCTCTTCCTCAGATTCTCAGCTTCAGAAAAGTCAGCTTGTGCAACATAGTGGGCAGTCCTGACATACTGTAATTGAAGGAGTTATGGGTTTTTCAGTCCTACAACTGTGTGGTTAATACATGTGGGAGCAGAGCAGTGTTGCCTGGGAATCTAGGCTTCATTCTGAGTGGTGATGTTGGCAGATCAGTAAATGCAATTATCTGCAACAGGCAGGAAGGGCAGAGGTCTTCACCCAGAGACCAGCAAGTGAAGCAGCTGGATCCACGTTTCATGTTTATGGTGTTTTGGCAGCCATTACCCTGTTTACCAAGACCAGCAGGAATCTGTCATCTTGGCTGAGTGTGGCACAACTAGCAACAGTTTGGGGAAATATCTACAACTGGTATATAGTGATGACTGCAGAAAAAGACCTGGATTATTACACGCCCTTCTGATACGGCAATGTTCTAGCATTAGTGTTGAATTCTTCCTCCTGCCATAGGTGAGCCAAGCCAAAGCGGGGAGGTGTGTTACTCCCATAAATGCTGTGCAAAGAAGGCAGGGATTAGCTCACCTGGAACTCACATCCTGTGCCAGGGACAGTGCTGAGTCACCTCACAGGCACCTCACCCGGCCGTCAGCCAAGATGCCTCATGGCACAGACACACCACAGTGTGTGTGTCCTGTCTGCTTCCTGCTCCTGCATGCTTGGAAGTACTGCCTTGCTCTTTTGCTTGCCCATTGGGGTTTCCTTCTCTCAAACTTGCGAGAAATCTTGGAGATGGTTGCAACTCCTGGGCCATTTTATGGGCTTGGGTTTTGAGTGCCTGCAGTCCAAAAGAAATGGAAGAACATCTTTTCAACAACTTCCTTGCTATCTTTCTAACACTCAACCACTTCCTAAGACAAAAACTTGTGTGTGGATCATTATTTCTCTGGGATTTGGCTGGTAGAGGGGAATCCTGTATCCGTATGTGTGTGCAAGGTAGCACTGTCTTGCTGAACTGGACATGTCCTGAATGATCTTCCTGGGTGGTGGGGACGACTGATGCTTTGTGCCCAACTGAATACAGGTGTCAGCTTGTGGATGGATTGGCTTGCATCAGCTGTACACATCCTTATCTGCAGGAAGTAAGGAGTATCTCCGTAAAATCATACTATAAACCAAACCCTCTTCACTTCCCTTTTCATGAGCTGCTGGAGCAGAAGGGAAAGACAAAGCCTGAGTCACCCATGAGGAGTCATCACCTCATTACTGACATGATGAGAAATCATATACATCCTGTAAAAAGATGAATAAATCTATGTTCTTCCATCCCAGTTCTCCTGAGAAGGGGCTGGGTGTGCATGCCATACCCAGTTCAGCACATGCTGAGGTGGTGCCACACAAGCTGGGTTCTGGTTGTGTGCTAGAAGAGAGTCTAGGAAGGAGCTGTGATGCATCTGTGTGACACGAGAAAGCTGCCTTGCATCCCTGTGGGTCAGTTGGCTGTCCATGGGTTTCTCTGGATTCCCTCGCCTCCTCTAAGGGGGTCAACAGTTAAGGACAGCCCCTGAAACTGCTGTCTTCTTCTGGGGATGTGCTTCTGTGGTGTTTTCAACCTGTGCTATATGTGAAGCAGGCAGGCTCAGATCTCTCTACGTATCACTCAGTTCCTGGGTTTCCCCAAATAAGACATGCTAAAAAAAAAAAAAAAAAAAAAAAAAAAACAGTTTCTCACCTTTTGTGTTGGGAGAATTGCGAGCACTCAGCATTTTGTAGGAAGTGTTTCACATCTTGCAGGAGGAAACACTTAGTTACTGACTGCAGCTCATCAGCACAGAATGCTGTGATGTGATTTAGAAGCTCATTAGAGACCATAATCATAGCGGCAGATGTTGGTTGAGAGTAAGAACCAACACAATGAAAAATAGGAAGCTTTCTGCTGTGAGGATGGTCAAAATTTGAGGTTTTTTTTTTGTTTTTTTTTTTTCTTCCCAAAATACTGAAGTTTGTGTATGATGTGGAAGTTGCTTTCTAGGTTTGGAAAGGTGGTCAGGGTGGGACTCAGCCCCAGGACCTGTGCCAGGTGTCCCAGCCCTTCACAACCCCACTCATGCATGTGGGAGGACAGTGGCACCTGCAAGGCTCTGGAATCAAAGCTCTGAGCTGCTAAGGTGGCACAGATGATCCCCATAAACTGCAACGACATCGATCTAAGATATGCATTCTCCCACTAAGGTGAATACCAACAAATACAAATTCCATGCACTCGCACAGGGTGTGCAAATGGCTGAGCAGCCGAGGGCTTACATCTCACAGTTGTTGTTCACAGTTCACAGAAATGCTGGACGTGGAATGTGCTTCCAGGTGCAGAGGGATGATGGTATGAAGATACTTTGGGACCTCTCTTGCATAATATGCCAATGTTTCCTGCTGTTAAGTGTGTCACCCCATTAATGTAAAGAACAAATACAAAATACAAGTAGGGATACTCTGTGAGATTGGTGTCCCAAACCCCCTCCCAGCTGTTATTTCCTGGCGTTCCCCAAATGTTCAGCATCACCTTCCTTGGGATGCTTGCCCCACTCCAGCAGCTGACCCCAAAGCAGTGCAAGCAGTGCCTTTCCCAGGCTTCCTTCCACCATTTGTGCCAAGGGGATGCTGCAGTCGCGTGGCTCTTTGTTCCACTATTAGATGCCTGTATAGATATGCACGCCTCCCACTCCCCCATTCCTCCCCCCAAAAAAAGGAAAAATCCCCTTCTCCAAGTGCCAATTTAAATGGATGTAGATGGAAAGCATGGAGGAATCGTACAGAGCAGAAAAAAATCTTTAAAACCGAGGGCTGAAGCAAATATAGCTGAGTAGTACACTAGTTACAGAATGAACAGCATATTGTATGTGCTGTGTTAGAGGTATGTTATGAATAACAAAAGCACTGGAGCATTTACATATTTGTTTTCAGAAATCCTGGCAGTTGGATTTCACCATTCTGCGCCTCTTTGCCAGAATCACTAAACAGTGGTACATATGGCTTCTGAAGTACCATATGCCGCGGGAAGCGCGAGCTGATGCCTATACCGATGCGACACAGTATAGTCTTTATTTAGATTTTTTTTGCAGTTTGGAACAAAGAATATTAGATCACGCAAAACATTGTGCAAGCAGCGCGGAGCCGTGCGTGTAATACGTTGAGAAAAGCAAGTTGGGGGGGGGGGGGGGGGAAAGGAAGCAATGCTGGTATTGGGAATGGGGATGAGCCACGCACGTGGCTGGTGCCCACGAAAGCAGCAGCACGTCGGGGAACACGAGGAAGGGGCAGCGCTGTGCCACAGTCCCGAGCAGAGGGCGGTGGGGGGGGGGGGGGGGGGGGAGGATGTGGCGATGGGTGGCTGCGGGTGGGAGGCGCTGAGGTCCCCTTGGGCCGCGGCCGCAGTCGTCGGCTCTCCTCTTCTGCCCTCCATCGGAGGAAGCGAGCGCTCGCCCTGCAGGATGCTACGCCTGGGACGGGGTGGGGGGGGGAGGAATTGGGGAGAAATGCCGCAAAGCCCGAAAAGTCGTCACCTGCGTGTCGCGACCGCTGCTCGAGGGTTTTCCCCCGACTCTTTGGCTCCAGATCGAAAAGCAGTGAAAATCTCTATAAACCCGGCAGTACCCTTCCACCCGGGACCCTCCGCCGCCGCAGCGCTGCCCTTTGGGTGCCTCTTCTTTTGCTCGTGTTACAATTGTCGCATCGCTATAATGCTCCTTTTCTTCCTCCGTCTCCATAGGCACGGAGCGAGGCAGAGGCTGCGGCCGCTATTCAGCACTGCCGTTTGTCCCGGAGCGGTCCGGACAGCACGGCCCTTTCTCTGTGGCCGCTGTTCTCCGCTCCCGGAGCAGCAGATGGCTGCGGGCCGGGCGGGCTGTGCTGCTCCGGTGCTGAATACTCGATGGAAAAGGGCTTCATCATGCTTGGGTGGGCAGGGGGACAGCGGGCTGAGATTTATGACAGAGGGAAATCAATCTTGGGGAGTTGTGGGCTCCATCCCTGCTGGAATCCTCCACACCACTCTGTCCAATCCTGTCTGCCCCTCTGTCTTCACCCCCAGAGGAGAAGGGGAGCCTCTGGGTGCTGGGGTGACACGTTGCAGTGAAAGTGGGGTGCGGCCCTGGGCCCCATCTCTTTGCATTGTGCGCTTATGGGAAGCCAAAACCAGGTAGCAGTGAATAGAGGGCAGGGAGCTGAGCTGTAGAATGGTGAGGGCTAGGGAGGGACTGCGTGCACCCTTCATCCTTCAGCTCAGTGCTCACAGAAGAGAAAAAACTGCGGTGCTGAGCGCAGACGTGAATATTTGTCAATGATTCCGGGGGTGCCAAGGTGAGGTGGCAGCTCCGGGTCAGGGACACAGGACCGCGGAGCTCAGAGCTTGTTCCATTCTTTGCTTTTGGCCTCACCACCGTTCGGAGGGTGGGTCGGGCCGCCCCGTCGGGGCCGCGGTTCTGCAAGCAGAAATTTTCCCGTGGATAAAGCATGGTGCTCTCGGAAGACGCTATGGTGAAGTATTCCCAAAGATACTTTCCTCAGCACACAGGAAAACGCGAACCTAAAAGCAGTGGGGAGGGATAAGGGGGGGAGCGAAGATGCCTCGAAATGCCCCAAAACACCCCAGAATTCCGCGCAGTTCTGTTCCGACCCCGGTGCTGGTGGCGGCCGTGGCAATGCTGCAGCGGTTCGGGCACTACTCCTTCTGTGGTGCCCCTTCAAACTGTGGCAAAAAAAAAAGATGATTCAGTTCTCTGCTCCCCGGTGCATGGCAGCGGGTCGGGCGCTGCGTGCCAAGCAGCGGGGGCTAAAGATCAGAAAGGGAAAGAATAAAAAAAAGAGAGAAGAAAAATATGTAACGCAAAAACCGCGCACCTCCGAAACAGCTGTAAATTGCCGCGTATCGGCAATGTTATAGCAATCCCCGTTGAGGAGCCGCTGGGTTTGTGGAATTAATAAGATAAATGTTGAAAGCACATTACGGGCAGCCCTTAATCCTAATGCAGGGAAAATCGTAATTACGCGGCGGATAAGTGAATGTGAAAGCCCCGCACCCGCCACTCTCTGATTGCACCCAGCGCTCCGCTCCCCTTTGGAAGGGGCTTTGTGCCGCCTTTTGTTTACTTTCGCCTTTTTATTTCCATTTTTACTTTATATTTTTTAAATCCATCGCGGGTCCGAAATGAAGGCGGTAAGGACTGAAGCGGAGAAAGCTCTCCATGCGGGAGAACCCTTCCGCAGGCACGGAGCGGCCCGCATCCCGCATGCATTCCTCATCCTGCATCCAACCCTCATCCCGCATCCATCCCTCACCCCCCCATCCGTCCTTAATCCCGGTGCGCGGGGGCAGCAACGCCGTCGGGGCCGCCCCGGCGGTGGCTCCGTCTCCGCGACTGTGGCTCCGTCCCCGCAGCGACTCTGTCGCGGCGGTGGTTCCGTCCCAGCGGTGGCGGCCCCGTTGCCCCCCGGGGGCGGCCGTCGGGTCCCGAAGCTTCGGGGGGTCCCCGCGCGCTGCCAGGTGAGGGCCGTGCGGGCGGACGGGAGGCGAGCGGGCGTCCCCCGAAGGGGTTAAAGGGAGGGGACGTGGGCTGTCACGCGTCATTGGGCAGATTATGTGCGGCAAACAAAAAGTGTGTGTCTGCGTGCCACTCACTCACTGCGCCGCGTCCATCTGCGCGGCGCGGAGCGCACTCGGCCGGGCCATGGAGCGGCGCTGAGCGGGGGGCACGGAGCCGGCGGCCGCCTTTGTGCCAGCGCCGGGCGTGGAGCGCGGCCCCGCCGCCCCCGGTGAGTGGCGGAGGGAACAATGCCCGGAGCCGGCCCCGGACAAAGGGCGGCCACGGGGAGCCGGGGGCTGCGCGGGGCCGGGGGAGAGCGGGAGGCGGCGGGGGGAAAGTTCGGCGGGGGCCGCCTGCCGCCGCAGCTTTCGTTTGCGGAGGTCGACGCGATGGGGCCGGGCAGCTCCGCAACGACGGCGGAGGAGGGGGGGCACAGGGAGCGGCCCCCTCCCGGTTCCCGATCCCGCGGGGGACCGGACACCCTCCGCCGCTCCGCGGGGGGATGTGGCAGCGGTGTCCCCGGGAAGCGGGGCCGGGTCGCTCTGCTCCGGAGCGGGCGGTTCGCGGGGATCCGTTCCGTGGAGGTGGGGAGGGAGGAATTCAGAGGAGCGGGTCGGGAGGAAGAGGGCTCCACGGGAGAAAAGCGCAGAGTGGGATCCCGCACCGCTCAACCCCGCGCGGGCAGCGGGGCTGCTCTGCGGAGCGAGTGTCGGGGTAAAAAGAATTACCTCCGCTCTCTGCTTTGAATTACATCTCGGAGGGAAAGTGCTGGATTATGGTAATGCGCAGCCAGACGCTCCCTCTCGGAGCGGGAGGTGGCTGCCGCCAGCCACAATGCCACTCTCCGAACCCTCCGGGCCGGGCCACGCTCCCCATCCGAACCCGCACAACCCCGGCGGCGGCCGCATCCCCCGCGCGGAGCCCTTTTTTTCCCCACCGCGATGACTTTTTCTCTCATTTTTCCTTCTGATTTACATCTCTGTAAACATCCATCATTTCATTTTTTGTGATTTTTATTTGATTTTTATTTTTTTTCGCAGCGTGATGACTCGCATTTTTCCTTCTGATTTCTACTTCTACAAATAGCTATAATTTCTTTTTTTGTGTGTGTGTGTGTGTGTGGCTTTTTTTGTGTGTGTGTTTGTTTGTTCTCCCCACCCTCCCCCCGCCCGCAGCCATGGAGGACGCCCCGCGGGGGCCGTGGGACGGGGAGGCCAAAGCGGTGCAGCAGTGCCTGACGGACATTTTCACCAGCGTCTACACCACCTGCGACATCCCGGAGAATGCCATCTTCGGGCCGTGCGTGCTGAGCCACACATCTCTCTACGACAGCATCGCCTTCATCGCCCTCAAATCCACCGACAAGCGCACCGTGCCCTACATCTTCCGGGTAAGAGCCGCCGACGGGGAGGGCGGAGCGGCCCCACGGCCCCTGGGGAACCTCCGACGGACACTCGACCCTTTGCAGGTGGACACGTCGGCGGCCAACGGCTCTGCGGAGGGGCTGATGTGGCTGCGGCTGGTGCAGGCAGCCCGCGAGCGGCAGGAGCAGAACCTGGAGGCCTACGTGAAGAGCGGGCAGCTCTTCTACCGCTCCCTGCGCCGCATCGCCAAGGACGAGGAGCTGCTGGTGTGGTACGGCAAGGAGCTCGCCGAGCTGCTGCTACTCGGCCCCGCGCGGGGTCCCGACGGTGGGTGCCCCCCAAAATCCACCCCCCCAAAAAAGGGGAAGGGGCCGGGCGGTGGGTGCGGGGTGCCCTTCCCCGACGGCGGCTCTGAGCAGCCCGGGGCTGAGCGCGCGTCCCCTTCCCCGTGTCCCGCACAGGGTCGCCGCCGTTCTCCTGCCCTGAGTGCGGACAGCGCTTCCAGTTCGAGCTGCCCTTCGCCGCCCACCTG